AAATGAAAGTGAATAAGGCAATTTGGTAAGTGCATGAAAGGTGCTGCTGGCCTGGAGAATCCAAATCCAGAATGAGTAGTTATTCCAGTGAGGACAAATTATTACCCTCTCCACAAGGGAAGGGTCTCTACTACAATTCTGCTTCTGGATGTGATATTATAACAAGGCTCAGGGTTGGTCATCGCTGCTGAAAATTCAACAGCAGTGGCAGTAGGCACGTTAGCCTTGGTGAGGAGAAGTCCTTGGTGGGCCAATGCATTTTCTCTATCCCTGAAACCATGGCCACTTTGTCCGTGAGGCCATTGAGCAAGGATGGCTGGGGAAAGGGGAAGACTGCCATCCACAGGGCACAGGTCAGGCAATTGACACCTGCATACTTAGAGCCTCCCCCACAGTGAGAACTCTTGACCATTTTAGTGGGACACAAATATTCTCCCACACTGGGGCCTGTTCTGAGATGTCCATCCACATTCCTCTTCCCCAAACCTCCTTTCACGTCGCTGACCATCCTTTCAAACTGGTAGCCACTGCCTATAGCACGGTGAGCATCTGCCTCTCAGGCCGCCTCTCCTTCCAGGCAAAGTGTATAATGCGGACCACTCCAAGTTCTGCTCCCTGGGAGGATTTCCTTTTCCCACTGTCCCTCGGCTCCAAGCAGGGCTGAAATAGCCCAGCAGTTAAATTCCAGCAGGTGCCAGCAAAACTTGCAGAGCCATCTGTGAACCAGATATTATTTTTTCCCTTGGCAAACTGCTCATTGGGAATTCCCCCTTAGACCATGGTTATGAGGGAGGGAGGGTAGCACTTCGCAGGATAAGATGCTGACTGCTCCTGGAGCCCGTGAGGACCGTCAGCCACATGGAGTGCGGTGCTAATATCCACCGCTTCCACCCGATGAGGGTGTGCTGCTGGGCTGGGCCTACTGAACTTGTGGCTTGGAGGATCAAATCACTCCCAGTTCAAGATGGGCATTTAGGTCATATGGTCACCTAGTGTTCTGTGGTCAAGCCCTCAGTAGCAAGCCAAGAGTTATTTCTAAAAGGAGAATAATTACCCACATAAGAGAGCTTGGCTTTGCTCCAAAAGCCAAGAGGCTGCAGCCGTACTTCCCCTGTTAGGACTTGCTGTAGGCTCCGCACAGCATCCAGGTCGGCCACAGACACTTGAGCACCATTAGATCTCCCGGGTCCTACGGGCACAGATGCAGAGCTGCTTACAGTGGGCCTGGACCAGCTGGAGAGCACTGTCTTGCCCAGGCCTCCATTAAAAGTAAATGAGTCAGAGCAGCAAACCCGAAGGTGACATAGGTTTCCTTCAGATGCCAAAGAATTCCATCAAGCACCTGTGCGTCTTTGTTGTTGGTGGCACTCATAGCTGCAGTTCCTACAAAGACATGGTATTGCTTTTGTTTGGCCATTTTGGTAGGAAGGGGGAGCCAAAGGGGTATGTGACCTTGGCCCTCCAGTCATGACACCCTTACTCCATGGCTCCGAAGGCCGTTGTGGAGATTCTGCAATTGCTGAGGGTAGCTATTCCAACTATAGACTCAGGAACTGGGGAAATTACCGCATAATTTTCCACTGAGAAAACTGAAGCAGTTAGAAGAGAACTTCCACAGTCTACCAGCACCACATCCACCCACTTTCCAGCATCTGCCCCCACTTACAGTCTGTTCTCCAAAAACGCATTTCTGTAATGGGCACGAACTCAAATATTATAGCTAAGTGGGGGATGATGTCACCGTAATGTGGAAGTGATTTTTCCCCCCAGCACATTAACATTTTGTGCCACTAGATAAGAGCTGCTGAATGTGACGGACACCAATGGAAGGAGCTGATGGAGCAAGCCGCAGAATCAGGTTCTTTACACGATGCCCACTCCCTGCCCTTTCTTCTTCTTAGGTCCAGTTTGACCACAGGTCCTGTCTTGGAAGTGCTTATTGTGTAACTCAGCAGCTTTACCCTCCTCTACCAAATTCTATCAAGCCACCTTTGCCCTTTTTTTGGAAAGGTGAAATCCCTTATTTACTGATGTGTTTATTTATAGGGAATGTAACATTTTTTTAAACCACGTTGTTTTTGTGAGTGCCCAGGTTGTAAAGTTGGATAGGTTTGGAATGATCTGCGCCAACCCTAACTTTTCCATAAATTGTATTATTTTTAGGGCATGAATTTGAGAATAAAAAAATTTTCGGGGGCACATTTATCATGTTATTGCGGAAATGCCTGTTTGCTGCCTTCCCACTCGTAACCGTGGAGAAATTATTCATGCTCTTATCTAAAGCTCATTCTTCCACGTGTGGACTGCATTCCATCCCCTTATTCAGAACACTGTTCCAGCATTTATCCCTTTTCCCCTACACTTCATCAGTTTTTTGTCTTTCCTGGAACATTCTCTTCAACATAAAAACATGCCCCTACTTCTCCCATCTTAAAAAAAAATCGTTCTCTCAATTCCACATCCCCTACCAACCTACCACCTCCATTCTTTGCTCCTTTTTCAGCAAAACTAGTTGAAAGAGTTGTCTATACTCGCTACCTCCAGCTCTTTCCCTATTTTCTCCTGAGCCCAATCCAGTCTGGTTTTGCTCCTTGTCCACCCCACCAAAACTCCATTATCAGGGTCACTGGTGACCTCCTCATTGCTAAGTCCAACGGTCAATCTCCAGTCCTTATCCTACTTGGCCGGCTAGCAGCATTTAATAGTTGACCACTCCCTCCTCCATACCCTTTGTTCATCTGCCTTCCAGGCGACCACTCGTGGTTTTCCTCTTGCCTCCCTGGTAGCTCCTTCTCAGTCTCCCTTGCGGATTCCTCCTCTTCTCCTGACTGCTTAGTGTTGGAGAAACCCAGGGCTCAGCCCTGCTCCTCTTCCTTTCTCTCCTACACTCAGTCTTTTGGTGATCCCACAGGATCCCAGTTTCATGGCACCTATATGCTGAAAATTCCCAAATTTGTATCTCCAGAGTAGACCTTCTTCTTAAACTGTTGACTCCAATATTCAAGTGCCTACTCAATACCTCCACTTGGATGTATAATGCACATCTCAAAATTAGCAAGTCTACAACTGAACTTCTGGTATCTCCCGCCCAACCCGCCTCTCGTGCAGCCTTTACCCATCAGTTGACAGAAACTCCACTGTCCCAGGTGCTTGGCCAAAAATCTTGTAGTCATTCCTGCCTCCTCTCCGTCTATCACACTGCGCATCAAACACATCAGCAGATCCTGCTGGTTCTACTTTGAAAATATATCCAGAATCCAGCTGCCTCTTACCTTCTCTACTGCTACTGCCCTGGGGCAAGCCACCATTTTCTCTTGCCTGGATTATTGCAGATTCTCCCAACTGGTCTCTCTACTTCTACCCTTGCCTCCCTACAATCGATTCACAATACAGTAGTCACAGTGAGCCTGTAAAATGTATGTTAGATTGCTACCTGTTCAAAACCCTCTAGTGGTTTTGAGTAAAAGTCAAAGTCCTCATAATAGTCTTCAAGGCCCTATATGATCTAACCTGCCACCCCTACCTGCCACTCTTTAACCTCTCATTCTCCCCCTCGCTCACTCTACTTTAACCACATTTGCCTCTCTGCTACTCCTCAAACACGTCTGGCACTCTCTTGCCTCAGGGCCTTTGCAACTGGCTGTTCCATCTACCTGGAACACTCTTCCATGTCCTTTAATTTGCTCAAATCTCACATTCTCAATGAGGCCTGACCTATTTAAAAATGCAAAACACTGTTGCCCCTCATCCTCCTGTACTCCCCAATCACTTTACTCTGCTTTACCCCCCCAAAATTTATCACCTTCTAACTTATCAATTACTTGTTATGTCTATTGTTTCTTATCTGTCTCCCCAACTCGAGTGTTTAAGTTCTAAGGGTTAGGGATCTTTGGTTCACTGGTGTGCTCCAAGGGCCTTGAACAGTGCCTTGGCAGACAGTAGGTGTCACTGGCACCAGTTGGATCTGTGCAGTGGGGTGCCAGGTTCTCGGATAGACACAAAAGAATTTGAGAGTGGACACACACCAGAAGTTTTAACAGAGGAGGATTTATTAGCAAAGCGAAAGTACACCCCCAAGGTGGGGGGCGGGCAGGCTCGAGGGGAGCAACTGCACCCAAGTTGTGGTGGTTGGTGGCTTTGGAAGGTGGGGTCCGGGGGTTGGTGAGGGTCTCAGAAGGTGGACCAACCGGGGCATTGTCTCCAGCCCCATGTTGGGAGGGGTAGATTTTTTCCTCACATTGGCATCTCCGGAACTGTAATGGCAGTGATCCCCCACAAGGGAGGTCAAAACCGCAACGCAAATGATGGTATAATGAGGCTTGGGGCTACTCTTGGTCAGGGTCGCGGGGGAGTGCTACACGTCTGCAGAGCTGCTGCCCGGTAATTAGGACGCTGCACCTGGTGGAGTGACCTTGCTCTCAGTTCATATCTAGCTTCCTGCCTATCTCGGGCACGCAATAAATATTTGTGGTATGAATACGTGGTAGGCTCAGGTTCCAATGGGCTTGCTGTGAGGTGTTCTCAGGTAAAAATTCCACTTATCATCACCTGTGCTCCACTCACCCCACTCTGACCTGTGGACCTTGATACTGGGCCTAGGTTACATGCCACACCCTAGCTGGAAAACAAGTTTTCTGCTTCTGCTCTGGAGAGGTGGGATTCACAAGGTGAGAAATTTCCCAAACATGGAAAGGTCGTTCAAATGGTTCCAAAGTAGCCAAGAAGCTAAGCCACCACATTAGGCTATTGAAAAAAATGAAATCATATTTTCATCAACTTCCTGTTTCTTCTTCTTAAGCAGTGAATTCAAGGAATGCATTTAATTTAAATAAGACTAAGGTGACAATTTATTAATGCTTTTAGGAAAAAAGCAAACTTTATTTTCCATCATGTTGGAGGATACTGGCTTAATTCACATTGTTATTATTCCCACTGATGTTTTACATAATAAAATTCATTGCAAATAAAAAGTATTTTCATTCCAATGGAAAAGAAAATTAACAGGTTCAAAAAAATCAAGTTTAATATCAAAAGAAGTAATACATAAAAGTTTCTACATCTTAAAAAATCTGATAGTTAAAATATTACCAAGCTTGTGATGTTTACAACTCACTTTATGAGAACCTCTGAAAACATCTGTTTGGAAACTGAAGGTTCTGGTCAGAAACTGTGCAGGCAGAGCAGAACGTTTCACATTCTGACAGAATACAAAGTTTAAGAGTGCTTTAGTTTAAGTATTTATTCGTTGTTCTTTGTCAGACCACATTAAGCCCTTTAGAGTCTAAAGAGAAGCTGACTGAGGGCCTGGGTCCCTCAGCCACACTCCTGGCTTCAGGGGAGTCTGTTTACCTGGAACTCTGTGGCACTATCAAGATCCTGGAGACAACCACCTTCTACTGCTGTACAGCTGAGGCATAAGGACTTGAACTGGGCCTACAGTGGCCAGCCTGCTCTAGTCCAGGAGAGTGTGACTTCTTATATTTACATATGAATGCACCTGTTTTTCCAAGGCTAACTCTGTAGCATTCCACTGGCACCAAAGAGCCAAACGGTGGCATTTTGTCTATGCATTCCTGGTGACCGGCTTCAAATGAAGATGACACTGTCTCTGATACGCCAGGTTCTTCATCAGGATTCAAACACTTTTCAATTCCAGGTTCACCTGTGTGGCTGCCCTGCGAACTCACGGGGATGCTGCTCTGCTCACGGTCTTTAAGGCGCCTGTGGTGATCTTCGCTGAGCAACAGTACGACAGTCCCGCCAACGTGAAGCACTCTGTGACAAAAATGATAATTGGTATGAGTACTTCTTTCTTTTTATACAACAAACAATCTCACTTTATTTAAAATATTTGGTGTTTTTAATTTGAAATTTAATTTTATCTAGTTAAAGACAAGGATTTTGACAATTAGGTAGTATCTTCCATAATGCATATTCCTTATAGTAATTATGGAATCACTAGTACAAATCTGCTTTAATTATCTATTTTTACTCTATTTAAAAGGCAAGCCTCAAAGTAATTTATCGTCACATTCTAATAGATGATTGTACAAAGGAAAAGGCAAATGAAAGAATCCTAAAGGATCAGCATACATTAAAGGCAGTAGGCTGATGGCAGAGGAAACTCACCAGGAAGCAGTGAGGATATGAACAAATGAATGCAACAGGGAAGACTGGAAAAAGAAGGGAGACCTTGAAATGTCAGCTTATTGAATTCATTTACTCAAGCATTTGACCAAAGTCTGTAGAGCATTTACGTGGAAAAAGTGACAAATCACACGCAGTCCTCTGAGCTGCTAAAGAGATCACTGAACAGGGGGAGAGGGAGGCAAGTAAAGAGTTAAAGAGCAAATGCCACCATCAAGGTGAGTCTGAGGTGCGGTGGGAACACACTGCGGGGGTCCCAAACCCAGGCACAAGAGAGTGGAGACAATCCCTGGAGGAGGAGATTACCCACAGTGTGAGGTAAGGACAAGCAGGAGTGAGCCAGGCCAAGTGCCAGCTAGGGGCTGGAGCGAGGGAGGGTGCCGGAAGCAGAGCAAGCAGCACAGGAAGAGAAGAGGAGGAGGCACTGTAAGGAGTTCAGCACCAGGGTGAATCAGCGTAGTGGGAGGAGGAGCGAGGAAAAGAGTTCTGTCTGGAATGTGCGGAGGTGCCTAAGGAATACAGCAGTGCGGATTCCAACTGACAGCTGGATACACAGCCTGGAGGTAACTAGAAGGACCAGGGCACGAGGTAGGGATTTTGGAGTTTTCAACAGTCAGCGGTAGATAGAGCCATAATTGTGGATGAGATCATCTGCGGTGGGAGTACAGAGTGAGAAGAGAAAAAGGGCCAAGAACAGAGACTTAACACTTAAGGAAAGATGGAGGAGGAGGAGCCCATGAAACATATCCTGAGAGAAAATCTGGACAATGATGTCATGAAAGCCGAAGGAGTAGTTTCAAGAAGGAAATCATCTCAACAGTTTCAACGTTATAGGACGAACAAGTGACTAAGATTATAAGAAGTCAGTAGTGAACCTAGGGACAGCAATCTTACTTGAGGGAGCAGCAAATGCTGGTCTGCTGGAATCCAGGGGGGACTGGAAGGCGAGGAAGCAGAGATGTCAAGTGTAGACCACCCTTTGAAGAAGTTCGGTTGTCCAGGTAAAGAAACAAGATGACAGCTAGAGGACCAAGGGTTCTTCCCCACGCCTGGCAAAGATGTCAGGACCTTAAGTAGCTTCCCCTCATTGAAACAAGCAGCAAATCTAGACAAGTCTGTCTCCAAACTACATCACATAGTCATCTACTTCATGCCATCCTCACATCCTGCCTGCACTATCGCAACAATCTCCTGACAGGTCTTGTTTCCATTCTTGTCGCTCCTCCCACTCTCCCTTCCCAGTTTCCACATGGGAGACTAATAAATCCCTCTCTTTCTCTCCCATTAGACTTCTAACAAGTATAAACTCCTCCCTGATCTGACCCTCACCCACCTTTCGCACTGCACTGCCTGCTTGCTTTGCTCACTATGGTCTGAACACACTGACACTCCTTCAGTTGCTCCCACTCAGCAAGCTGCCTCTTGTCTTAGACATTCGGCCTCGCTGCTCACTCTGCGCTTAACACACATTCCCTCGAGTGCCTTCTCATCATTCAGGTCCCAGAGTTCAAATACCATCTCCGTGGAGAGGCCTTCCCTGACTATCTCTCTAAGGCAGCACTGCTTCTCTCTCAGTCATTCTCCAGCAAAATATCCCGTTTTCTTTCTTTCACGTTATCACTCATGATCTGAAATGATCCTGTATATTTATTAACGACCTGTCTTCTCACGCTGGAATGCAAGCCCCACCTGGGCAGGGACCTTGTCCTAGTCACAGCTCTATCCCCAGTGCCTAGTACAGTGCGTGGTATATGCAGACCTCCAAAAGTGTCCGGGGAAGGGAAGACTGAATCTGGAAAGAACCAGGTGATGCACAGTTTGAAGATAAGAACGAGAAGTGGGCAGAGTACGATCCTCGAGGACGCAGGAACTGAGAGGATAAACCCTGGTGAGAAGAGAGAAACCTCTTCTACTGAGAGAGGAGGGGCTGGGATAAGCGCAGATGTGGTTGTATACCATGGGACAGAAACAAGAAAACATACAAGTATCTCTAAACACATAAGAGAAAACATATTAAAATAATAAATGAGATATAACTTTTTTCCTACTGTATTAAAAACCAAAAGACTGCCATATTCAGGATGGTGAGACTAGGAAGAAACGAGCACTCCTGAGATGGAACTGGTGTAACTTTTTTGGGACAGTAGCTTAGCAATAACATATCAAAAATCTGAAATGTGTATAACCTTTGACCCAGCAATCTCACTTGTAGGAAATTATCCTAAGAAGATATAACAGTAGAGGTAGTAGAATAATGGTGACAAGAATGGTGATGACGCTAATATTTTTCGAGCACTTATTATATGCCAGGTACTGTTTTAAATGCTTTTTATTATATATCATATAATCCTCAGAATTATTCTTTCAAGTATGTCCTGTTAGCATCACCATTTTGCAAATGAAGAAACTGAGGTACTGTGGTTTTAAGGAACCTGGTCATATAGTAAGTTTGAAAACTGAGGTTCAGAGCATTGTTCTTTATTAAAATGAAAAACTGGGAATTATCTAAATGTTCATCCATAGGTACTGGTTACATAATGGTATACACATATAATACCATGGCGACCACTGAAAATTATAATGCACACTATAACAATTTATCAGAAAAGAGATTCATGACATATTGTTGAGTGAAAAGAAAGGTTGGTTACATTACAATAAATTAAGGATAAGCCTACTTATGTAAAACTGAAAAATGTATCTATTTGTACATATGTACACAGAAAGATGCATACAAGGACATTCACCAATTTACTTACTGTAAATTTTTTCAAATAATGGAGAAAATAAGACAGTAAAAATCACTTGAAATCCTGCTATTCAGAAGTGAATATTTTATTTTATTTTTTTTGGTGAGGAAGATTGGCCCTGAGCTAACATCTGTGCCAATCTTCCCCTACTTTGTATGTGGGATGCTGCCACAGCATGGCTTGAGTGGTGTGTAGGTTCGTGCCTGGTATCTGAACCCGTGAACCCTGGGCTGCTGAAGCGGAGCATGTGAATTGAACCACTATGTCACTGGGCCAGCCCCAAATATTTTTGATAAATGTCTTTCTAGGCATTTTTCCATGTTCACATATACATAATTTCTTACTAAGAAAGCTATTCAGAATATAAAAAAATATTTTCCAATTTGCATTCCTCTGAACACCAGTGTAGTATGAGAGACTATTTCTTGTAAAAAAAAAAAAAAAAAAGAGAATTCTGTGGTCAATAAGTTGGGGAAACTCTGTATCAATGAACATAAAAGAGATTACTCTTTTGTATGTGAACCTGTAAGTCTAGGGTTAGATGATACAAATAGTCCTAAATTATTTGACCTTGGAACGCATTAGGCCTTAATCTTCTACCACCAATCTCTGTTCCAAGCAGTCTGGTGTATTCATTACTCCTTGAACGTGCCTTTTGGAGTATTTACTTAACAAATACTTATTGAACATCTGTATAAAACATGGTGTGGTCTCCTTTTTTATTCTTTTCAAATTTCTAAATTTCACTGAAATCTTGCTCCTTCCATGAATCCACCTCAAGCCTCTTGGGCACACAGTGACTTCTCCTTCCTTCAAACTGAGCAAGTTGAATTTCTAATTTTGCTCACATGTTTTACATGGTTATATTGGAGAGCAAAGCTCAAATATTAAACTTCTCTGAATTCCTCACAATGCTCTGTGCTCATGAGATGGTTACTAATGAAATAAATTAAAGGAGGAAATGATTGAGCTGAGAGTGCATAGCTCATGCCACCAGGGCAATCATTTGTCTGACAATCTTTAATTCTGATTGCGTATTCTTTCTTGAAGAATCCAGTTCAGTATTACATACAGGACTATTTCCATTGCCTATTATGAACAGGTTTACTTGTATTTCTTCTTATTTTTATTAACACAATTTCCCCTCCCTTCCATTTTCTGTCTAGAGCCTTAAACTATTCGTAAACCACTGGGACAAAAGTTATTTGTATATAGATATATTTATATATATCCCCACCTACTTCCCAAAAGGATTTGAAGTTTATATGAAAACATCAGGTAAGAGCTAACCGTTACTGAGCACTTTCTAGGTGCTGAGCACTGTTCAAAGAGCTTTAAATCCACTGAATCCTCAGAACAATGCTATGAGGTAGGTACTATTATTGAAAGAAGAGGCACAAAGTGGTTAAGCAATTTGTCTATGACTGAAGAACTACTAAGTAAGAGAGCCAAGATTAGAACCCAGGTACTCTGGCTCCAAAGCCTGTCCTCTTCACCACTGTATTATGCTACAGTGCCTATATAAACCTCAAACCATAAAAAGTCAAAAGTCAAACCATAAAGGCTGTGGGCAGGTGGCAAAGAAGCTTGGTCAGAAGAGAAGTTTCATGTCCAAATATGTATACCTTCAATTGATCCTACTGAGGCACTCAAATTCTGCAGGAAATCTTGAATATCTTCCAGATTCTCAGGTAAATATTTAAATTTACTGCCACAAGGTGTGGGCAGTCATATCTATTACCATGTCATTTTCAATTACCTAGAAAAAAACTAAAACCAGCCTAGAGAAAGTCAGGCTGGTATAATTTTACTAGTGCTAGAAGGACTGTCTACTCAATACTGCCCTCCACTGACTTGTGATGTCTAAGATATGCAGCATTACATCGTCAGTTAGGTTAAGCCATTATCTCTGTAAAGTTCCAGGCTAAATCTAAGTCACTGCTCACACACATTAGTATCTCACCATGAGGCGGCTTAATAGTAGAGCTGGTGAATTACCTTGCTAGGTGCAAAGGCTGTGGTTATTAACCCTGGCTGCACAACAGAATCATCTTGGGAGCAGTTAAGAAATGCTGATGCCCAGATTCTGCCCCAGACCAATTAAATCAGAGCCTCAGTGGGGAGCGGTGGAGAAGAGGCATCAATGCTTCTCGAAAGCTCCTGAAATGATTTTAATATGAAGTCAGGGTTGTAAAATCTGCTGGAGGGGAATGTGTTATCAGGCAGGAGGAGTACAGGAACTCAGGGAATGTCTGAATTATAGGTGCTGCCCAGAAAGATCGATCCAGGGAACACATCATGAGTTACGTAACTGTGTGACAGGGGAAAAGTTGCTTAGAAATAAGGTAATCCACAAAGAGTGGAGCACCCAGCTCATCAAATGGAGGAGAGACGGCTCCTAGTTAGGCTTAGACTTCATGTCAACCTTTAAATTTCCTCACAGAATGTCAGCAGTGACACTGATTTTTCTCCATCCAAAACACATGGCTCATTTTCTCAGTTGGTGGCACATTATTTATATACAGGCTGTTGAACATTTGTGTTGTCCTGCTCTATCAAATGCCCAGCTGAGATAACTGAATATGAACTGACCTCTTATTCATCCCCATTCATTCCCCTATGTATTCTAGGTTCTCTCCTTTATCAACTTAGATGATCAGAAAAATATCGATTCAAGCCTCACTGAACCTCTCAAAGAAATACTTTCACTGAATTATATTCCCTGAGGTCGACCTTAGAAACTATAACATGAAAACACTTCTGCATTTTCATTTCGCAATCAATAATGAAGATGTCCATTCTATGTTACTGAACGTTCCTTACGTGAATTCTGTTCTGTTGGTTAGTAGCTGTGTGATCTTGAGTAAGGTAATCTTTCTGGGTCTCAGTTTCTCATCTTAAAGTGTGGGGGATTAACACATAGGAGGCAGGGTTTTGTGAGGATTAGAAGTAAATATGTAAATTACCTAGCTCAGTGACTGAAATGTAGGTCACTATTTCAGATATTCAAAGTTCAGGCAACAATGAAAAATTAGTATTCTTTTCTGAATAAAACTTATAGTGTAAGATGATATGGAATAACTATTTATTTCAATTATAAACTGCTGATTTGAAACCTCAGAAAATTAAAACTCTGGGAAATCACTAAAATGCTATCAACTCTTTAACTGAAGAGCTATGATATATTTTGGTTAAATGCCCAATACCTAAAAATATTATGGAAATAAATTCAACAACTTACCTTTCCATTTCTTGCAGAATGCTTTTGATGTCTTTTCCTAACTTAAACTTTTTCCCAAATGGAATGTCAGAAATAATAATATCGACACTTTCTGAAGGCAATGGCAATTCTGAAATACAGAAATCAGAGAATCCTATTACAGAAAGTTCAAATATTTATAACCAAAATATGAGAAAATTGAAGTACACAGGATTATTTTTGCATATTAAATAAAATTTGTGGTTGCTAATATTGTTTCTAAGGAATTACAAGATCCTGAAAGGCTTTCAGAATCACTAAGGATAAAGGGTACAGTTATTGTATTCTGTTCTTTGAAAATTGGTTTTTCACATATGATAAAATATGACATAAGGTAAGCAGAATTTTAAATTAACCAGAAAATTCAATTCTCTAAACATATTACACGAACAGAAAGTTGCCAGATGCAAGAAGAAATATATTAAGCTGTCTAGAAAAACCTTTTACACAATTAGAATAACTTTCATCTCCCTTTCATAGTTATATATAAATGTTGCATGTGTAGATCTGTTGCATGTGTAGATCTATTTGTTCCACAGCTTTCTGTATTTTTAAAGGGGACCCAAAAGGTTAAGAACATCTACTGAAGTCCCAAGACTAGAGAAAAAGGCTAAATAATCAATAATAAACAAAATGAATATTATCACTAAACAAAATTAAATATAGTGTTTGATTATTAAATCTAAATTTCTTTCTCATCTTGACATTTTATTCTCAGAAATTAGATTATCATAAGGTAATGCATCCAGTCTTAACTTTCACATTTTCTGAGCACACTTTTCACTTTCTACTTATTTTTCTTCCACTCCTCATCTCAATTAAGTTAGATATTCATAAAGTAGATGTCCCAATTTTCATTTTGAATAGCATCTAATTCTGTAGAAATACAATAAAATTTAAATAATCTTTACTATTCTAAATACCATATAACTTCTTTTGGCAGGAAATTTAAAAACAAAACAAAAAGTCCTGTTATCTGGGAAAGTCTAATGAACACTTGCTAGATCTCTTCTAGTTCTAACCTTTACCTGAAATGTGTAGAGGAAAGAAGAGGTTAGAAAAAAAAACAGGATATTCTTTTAGAACTAGACAGGAATTCTTTTTTTCTGAATCACGTTTTAACTTGATGTGCACTAAAAACTAGGGTGTTGATATAGGACACATCCATTTGAATATTATAATCATACTTTTTGCAAAACTACTGAAGACAATGAAGGCAATCATGTTTATCAAATGTTTTATACATGACGAACTATGTCTAATTTACTCTGGAGTTGGAGCCCAAGTCTGTCTTTTGCCTTCTCTCTCTCTCACACACACACACACACACACACACACACACACACGAACACACTAGCTGCCCAATGGGTTCAGGCTTGGTAACATTTTTTTCTTTCTTCTGGCCAGTTTCTGTTCTTATTTGCAACTCTCCTATGCTGTATTATATAATTTGCTAAACCACTTTAAATCATTTTAGAAGTTGAAGGAATGAACTTCACCTAGATAATTTTCAAAAAAGTTCTAGAACTGAGCAGTGTCATCTTCCAACAGAATAATGTAAGCTTTTGTTGACATGGCTGAGAGAGCAGGCTCTGGTGTCACATAGCTTGCATCTGGCTCTGCCACTCACTGGCTGTGGGACTTTGGGAAATTACTGCTTTATTTCCTCATCTGTAAAATGAGATCAGAGAACCTATCTCAGAAGTTAACAAGTAAGGTAATTTATGGAAAGCATTTACAACGGTGCTTAGCACATAGTGAGCACTCACTGTTAGCTATTGTTGCAGTTATTATCTACAATGTCCTCTCTGATGTGTACAGGGAGAGGACAGCCAGGTGGCGACCAGTGGGCCAGAATCCTTCAAAGAAGCCCTGCAAAATTCAGCGTTCCTTCCTTATGGGTCCTCACACGCCACGCAGGGCAACTACTTCCAGGTGGGCCTCTTTACTCTCCTTTCCTACAGCAGCGGCTCTCAAAGTGTGGTCCCCAGCCCAGGAGCATCAGTATCACCTGGGAACTACCAATGCGAATTCTCGGCCCTCCCCCGACCCCCCAAACCTACTATTTCGTGTGTATCAGAAACTGAAGGACTTGGTAAAACACTGACTGTGGGCCCCACCTCCAGAGTTTCTGATGCAGAAACTCCTAAAATCAAGAGCACCTGACCCATAAGATTCACTACCCAGTAAAATCTTCTACATTATTAAATGCTTTGAGCTGCCTGTGAACAAACAGTTTGCTTGTAAAATAAGGAGATAAAATGCTGAAATAGAAACACAGCTTGAAACAAACAAGTAAGAATCATCTCTTCTTTACATCTCTGCAGGATGACTCAAGAATATGAAAAATTTTAAAATACTCGTGTGTCTTAAACAAAAGAGCTGGCCTATTTCTCCCTCCTTCTAGGAGAAAAATGGGTGAGAACTGCTTAAAACCCAGGATAATAGCCCTAAGATATTTTCTTCCAATAGGTTTTAAGGGCCTTCAAGATACCTTTTTATGCATATATTTAGACAAAAGACTAAGTAAATTGAGGACTTTTATAAAATCAGGCACACTCTTCTATTTTCTTTCCTCGTATTTTCTGCTGTTTGAAGAGTCTTTCCATTGTCCAGGTTTATAACATTCACATTCTGTGCTGTAATTCCTATAGTTGTGTAAAATTATTGTATATCTGCGGTGGGCTCAGTGGCATAGCGGTTAAGTTCACGTGCTCCACTTTGGTGGCCTGGGGTTTGCAGGTTCGAATCCTGGGCACTGACCAATGCACTGCTCATCAAGCCATGCTGTGGTGGCATCCCACATACAAAATAGAGTAAGATGGGCACAGATATTAGCTCAGGGCCAATCCTCCTCTTTTTGCTGAGGAAGATTAGCAACAAATGTTAGCTCAGGGCTAATCTTCCTCACCAAAAAAAAAAAAAAAATTTTATATATTTGATTTCAGTCCTCATGACCAATCACTTTGTCTTTGCTTTCTCCACTCCCCGGTTGATTCATCTCTTAAATGTCTAGATTTTATTTTTTTCCCCCAAAAGGGCTTTTTAGTGAAATATTTTTTATATTTGAAGATATCCCTGTACTAAAATGACATCTTGGTTGGGCATATTTTTGGGTCACACTTGGCCTCAGTAACCTTGTAAATAACCACAATTCTTTTGGCTATTGCTCTATAACTTTCTGTTTCTTTCCCTTGGGCCAGATTTTGAAGTTTATTGCATTAGATTATGCCCTTTCCTTGTTTGGTTGCTGCTGGTGAATTTTTTTCCTTTTATTTTTACTATTCTTATTCTTATTTCAGTAAGTGCAGGAGAATGCAAATCCTTCAGTGAAGTTTCAATCTGTCATCTTAATCCAGAAGTCCATAATTAATCTTAAATATGCTAAATATAGTTTGACCATTTAATTTATAGTCCAAACAGGAACATTTTTGAGAAAAAGGGGGTTAAAAAAATTATACATGTTTTGAAGTACTAATAAATTAATTTATTATTATGGTGGACCTAAAAATAACATATTTGTGCACACTGGAGTTTTTTTTAAAAAACACACACTTTTAAAATATTATTTTAACATTAAAACAAGTGAAATAATTATTTGTAGTTTATATTCATATACTGATCAGTTTCTTAGATGTATCAGTCTCCAATCCCATGTCATCACTGATATTTTTCTGAAGAATGTAGCATTTAATACAGACTTTTAAATTTTTTCATAAATTGCCTGCAATATTGTTCAAAGTTTTGTTTTTATGGTTAATAAACTTCTCTGTAGACTACAACATTTTTATTTGAGAAAACACTTTCTCTACAGGAGCTAAGGTAACAGTAGAGCCCAGAGCAAATTCTGCTAACTGAAGAATCCTCTCAATTCTGTTTCTTTCACAGGAAAGGGTAAATATTTCAGCTCTCCAGTTCATAGCTCTCCATTCAGAGTGCCTTTGACAAATATTTTCACAACACAAAACTCAAATAAGTTGTCTCTATTGCTCTTTTAATTGTTTTACCAAATTTAGAGGCTGCAAAATGGAAGTCCTTCTCAATTTCATTCCACTCCATTCCATTCCATTCTAGAATAAATATTTATCCAATTAAAATAAAGCCATCAGAAGATTCTTCCCATAAGATATCCTAAGTGTATCTATAGAATGTCAAAATTAAATCTTGTGCATTACTGAGCTCTCACTTTTTAATTTGTTCATTTCTTCCTTGGTGTTTTCGGGGATAGACTTGAATGTTCTCCTGTTCCAGCTTTGTTTTTAATAACTGCAAATCATCAAAAGTTTCAAAAACAAATTTTTGGGCATGCCATTTGTTGAATCCTTTGATTACGGATTTCCAATGGACTTTGAAAAAAATGCAACCATGATTAGGCAACTAGTTTATTAAAAAAAGTTTATAGTACAATTGTAGGACACTGTGGCTGATTTACAAAGTAATTCTTCAAAGGCTTAAACATTTTTAAACCCAACTGATGATATATAAGCAAATAAAGTGTGTACTGTCATGCTGAGTATTTTTTGCATTCCATCATCTTTATTACAAATAGTTTGCAGTTCAGTTACTCTGTGTATATTTTAAAAATTGCTTAAAAGTCTGTTATGTTGATAATTTAAGTTTCTATTTCAATTACAAAACATCGCGGCTCGTTTGGAGGTAATTATGAATTATGTGGGTACCTCGTCAAATTCCAAGTACATTTCTGCTTCATAGATTTCTTTATTTAGTATGAATATTAATTTTTACCATGATGCTGTGGTCCACCACATAAAACATAAACAGACACATGTGCAGTGCTGAGCTGAATTTATAGCAGCATTCATAATAATGAAAGATGTTTCATCTTTAACAGAAAAAGCCTCCTAAATTTCCAAGAATTGGGGGGGAAAAAAGCTAAACCACTACTGGAATTGACTTAACTGATTGTCTTTTTGAAGCATCTGATAACACCGATACAAAACTGGCAACATTTAACTCTGCAAAGGTCTTCTGCTAATGGAGCCAACATATTAACAGCTATAGCTTCATTTTGTTTATGTACATAAGAAAACCTGGAACTGAAAATAAAATTAATTTAGAAGAGTAGTCATT